AGACTGACTTGAACATCATGAATGTGACCACAGACTACCTAGGCATAGGCTATCTCCTAATAACATGTTGGACAAGGACATTGAGAGTATTTCAGCAGGTAATTGGTACTATACAGTAATCCAATAGACTTTATGAGACTGCTGGCCCCTGTAGTTTGACCTATGCACAGATAGTCTGCAATATGTCACAGCATGGTTATATCATTGTAAAGTCACTTACAATTTGAAGCTGGTTTGTATAGTCACTGGGTGCTTAGCCCTTCAACTCAGGTCATAAAATGACAGTGAAAACCTTTGCATAAAACAGGGCAAAAAATTGAAAATACAAACAGCTCACTGTTGAAAAGTATTTGATATAAAAAAAACCTCCAAACCCCACAAATCCAACTAATATCAAGGTATAGATTCTCTCAAGGAGAGGGAAGTCTGGCTAGTTACCTTTGGCAACAGTATAAAACTGAATATGCATGATAAGGCTGCTGATGACGAGCTGCAGCTCCTATTGACCAATCTGCATTCACATTGATCGTGTTACCACAGTAAACGTGTTAATGAAAACCAGCCTGTCCTGATAACTGTCTTTTCACACGGAAATGTACGTAGAAATCAAAATTCAGACCATGAGGTAAGGTATCAACTGAGCAAATACAACAAAGCAAGGGCACTTTTTCCTGGATCTGACAGTCTTGCATTGGTAAAGATCTTACAGCATGTAATACACATTTTCTCCTTCAACAAAGTGCAGGGGTTTTTCTTTTCAAATTACAATTTTTCTTTTATTTATTCTGGCTACCATGATAGACATGGTAAAGACATTAGACAGTAGTACATGTGGTTGAGACAGGTGGCAGTGTTTTGCTTTTATTTCAGGAATAACAATGCTAGAACATCCAGGAAAACAGCTCATACACGAACAGTTCAGTGGTTTGGAGATACCAACACTAACACGTCACATTGAACAGTCAGCCTCACTATACTTGAACAGCATTCTGGCGTTCTGGACACATGTGTAACATGAGAGAAGTTACCTGCATCTCACATGCAAAGCTTAAATGACACCATAAGAACAATTCTGAACTAAAAGAGAATTGTACATTCAGCAGAAGAGACATCAGCATCGTCAAAATGAGCCAGGCAGGTAATTCAAGTCAAAGGAAACGTAAAATTTAGCTTAAAGATGCTTCCCATTACTTCTTAAATTTTGATGTTTTTTATTACTTCCTAAAAAGAAGCATTTTCTGAAAAATCTACACTAAAGTGAAGGGATAATTCCAATATTAAATTAGTGTAATACTAAAATGTAAATCAAAGCAAAATCATATTACTTCTGTTGACTTCAGTAACTTGTTTACAAGTATTCAGTTTGGGCAAATAGCAATGAGAAGTTTCTTACACCAGTATTGTTTGAAAAATAATTGAAGTGCATTCTAAAAATGGATTTTCAGTTGTTTTTAATAGCTGATTTCTCAAATTAGGCAATTTTACTTTGAGATGGAGACAATTCTCTTTCATAATCAAAAACCTTGAGATCTATTGTTTAAAAAATTATTTGGAAAAGAAAACCCATACATCTTCTATTAAATGCTCAGATTTGTCAATAGCACTCTGTTACGGGAATACCGCAAGGATTTTCCTATTTATTTATTATTATACAGTAATTATTTTTAAGTGCCCATTTTTTCAGCTGAGACTTTGTTTTGTTGTTGTCACAATCCAGACACATAAAACCATCCCTATTATGAACACTACACCTCTGGGAAGAAAACAAAAACAGACTTTTTTAATATAGGAAGAGAACAACCCTGAGGCATGAAGATTCTGTTCTGTTGGTCACAACATTCAAAAGCATTAAGTAAACCAATAAGGTACGGGTACATGTTTCACAGTTTCTGAATTATAGATTCATGAGGTATGCACAAGCAGACATTAAGACTTACATACAGAAATGTTTGGAAACACAAGACACAGGAAAGGAGGGTTCACCTCATGCAAGTAACTCCATGGAATTCCATAGGTCTTTCCAAATCTTACACCAGTAGAACAAAGCAGATGGGCTGTTGGATTGTCTCACTGCTATTAAAGCCCTTAACACATAGATCTAGAATCTGAATTCACAAAGGTGTAATGAAGTCATACTGAATGACTTCGTGGAAACAAAGGCTACTTAATCAGTAAACACAACCTGCTGCCTTTCCCCTCCTTTGTCTCAGCTGTGTCCTGCAAAAACCAAGAGCAAATGTGTATTAAATTTATCACACCACAATATTTTGCTTTCAGGTGTTCTCCCCTCTCCTTACCTTTTCCCTGCTTTCAAAATACATCTGCAAGCTACTAATACTCCAGTAAAGACATTTAACCAATGTTAGTCACCTTAAACACCATAATATTTTAATCTCCATGTACCGTATAAAGAGAGTTACACTTATCCTTCCAGTTTCTTGTCTTTTCTCATTCATTAGGAGTTTCACATTAGATGACATCTAGTCACTATTATGTGGGTTTATTTCTAGCCAAAGGGGACAAATATATAGTAAAAAAATGCCATCTTGAGCCTACTGGGGTAAAAATCAACCAACACCCCACAAACACCCCCAAGCAATGGAATATAGGTTCTAATCCTGCAAACATGTAGTTAACTCAAAACCAAGTATTATTCAGAACATAAGAAAATAATGTGAAATGAAACTAAATAAAGCTTCATAAAAATTAACAAATCCTCTACGTTTTTGGATGGTTGGAATTCCTTGTCAAAGGAGCGGATGTGTAAGTAACCATTTCTAAGGAACAACTTTCCTTTTCTCTATCTGGCCTTTTTTCTTCCCTGGGGAATAATGAGTGTTAAGTCTCAGCACTCCAGAATGGAAAAGCTGATTTTATTTGACTTTTTTTTTTTTTGATCCCTCCCCTTCCAATATGGAAAGAAAATTTGGAATACATGGTACGCAGACTTTCAGGTTTTATTTGTTAAAGCAAATTCCTGTAATTTCTCCATAAAAATTACTCAGCTTGTGTCTATGGTATTCTTGCCCAAATTTCAAGTTGATCTAAGCAGACATTAAAATCCAGACTGTCACCCCGTATGCTCTCCATTAATACAGTCACCTTTGCCTCAGAACAGAAAACCTAAGATCTTAAAAAATTAAACCCCTTAATCAGAGAAACATGATGCCTTTTCCAATTCTCCATTCCCATCTTCAGAGTCATTCTATTACTGTGGTACATAATAAAGAGGGTCAGGTCAGGCTCTGCCAGCTCATTGTGTCACACATAATGGTTCCAGCCAACACCCTTATTTCAGATATTTCTCTTTTTGTCAAGCCTCCCACTATTGCATCAGACTATCTTCCAGTAATTCATTCAAACTCTTTCTCCCTCTGCCAATTTCTCCCTGTGCACTTTTCACAGCAGTCATTTTGCTGTCCTCTGCTGTTCTAGACATCAGGAAAAATGCACACTGAAGACACAGGAAGAGTGAGTCTCATTCCTCATCTTGGTGGCACAGTAGCCAAGAGGACCAATTTCAGATAGACACCACCTCATCCCCAGTAGGATTCTGTAACACACTGATTTTTCAACTTTATTCAAAGACCAACCCATTAATGCTTTTGTCACTAGAGACAAAAATACTATGAATTAAAACCTGACAATAGGCTTGAGCATCAAACGTATCTTGAGAGTTTCTCAGAAGCAGCTTAAGTTTTTTGCAGTGGGTCTGCGGATCACAAGCACAAACCTATTTGAGGTAGAGGGATATTTAGGAGCTCTGCGTGTGCAATACATGTGTGGTCTGGTTGGTGCCCTAGAGATTTGAGAGGAAAAAAACATTTGTCTCAGTGGAGACAAATCTTCAGAACACAGAACAAGATATGTAACAAAAGTCTTGTCTCCAACTCCAAGAGTGTTCCATTATATCCCTAACTCCAATTTTGAAACCAGAAGAGGCTCTTAATGAAACGTGTTCCCTAAATTCATTCTCATACACACATTACAGTTTTACCAGAAACTTTACCGGTATACTTTGAGTCCAAAAGAAGGGAAGTTTGACAAGCTTTCAAGCAGCTGGAAACAGTTTTGCTTATGAACAACAGGTAATCGTAACTAAAACTTCAATACCAGCTCCACATCTGCATTAAGCAATTATTAAAGGCAGGTTTTAATGTTTAAGATTTTAAAGGTTCTAAGGAAAGATTATTTACATAACTAAATTTGACAATTAATACTACGTTGTCCTTCCCTCAGTGGCAGTGATCACTGTCAACGCCATAATATTGCGTATTCCAAGATAATAAGCAGAGATGAAGTTAGTCACAAGAGCCCATGCTTTGTTTTATAACCCATTATAAAACTGTAACATCCCACATGGAGTTGTAAACAATTTCATTTACAGAAAAAAAATAAGAAGGTGCCCCCACAGGTAAAAAATAAACCTTTTTAGTAAAGACAATGAAGTACTCAAAATACAGCTACAGGATTTTGGCATGGGTCTACTTGCATGGTCCATGCCAAGAAACTGTACAGAAAGGATGTGTAAGATGGGTAGAAAAGAGAAGAACGGGGTAATACAGTTTGTTACAGGATTAAGCTAAACGTTCAGAATTCCCCATATATATAGAAATACAGAAAGACAATCTACAGAGTGAGAAAGTAAAGAGCAATCTCGTAATAGCTGGCCACAGTGCACCGAATTCCTTTTTTTCCTTAGCAGTTGCTTGAGATACATTAGGTAACAGCACTGCCATGCTGCTGGATAATACCAGAATTCTGGAATTTATCAGTACAGCAATTTTACTATTAGGAAAAACTGCTAATAAAGATCCTGATGAACCGAAGAGTTCTACCAATAGCATACAAAGTTGAGTTACATTGATGCCATAGATATTATCTCTGTGCTTTAAAAATCCTTTTAGTATTTCTAGATTCGTTCCACTGGGGAAAAAAAAAATAAATCAAGATAAATCAAATACATACAGAAACACACTCACTCAAATGGCACTCATTGCTTTTTGTACAATTAAGCTTTAGTGAAAATATACATCTTAAAACAAATGAAGTACAAATGTACAAAAATCCTTGAACTCAGATAAAAAATATATATAATACACTTTGCTACAGAGATATAAAACATTTAAAGTTTGCTCATCCTTTCCGATGAGAGTAAAATGATTTAAAGTCGGGAGGACTCCTGCTCATCGTCACTGCAATCAGATTTAAAGCAGACCTACAAGAGAAGAAAAAAAGAGAGAATTTGGCTGCAGAACTGAAACCATCATTGGTTTGTGTGCTTTATGGGGCACAGAAAGGCTGGGGGTGGTGTGGTAGATGGCTTCTTCCAGCACATTTTATTCCATACTAACTAAATACTTTGGGAATATCAAAGGAAACCACAACGCAACCCCAAATCTCAAGTCATTAAAGTTTCATTTAACCTTAAGTTCCTTCCTTCTTTTAACTTCACAGGACAATTAACTGCAGTCTTACTACCTCAAAACCAACTAAAGGCCCTCAAGCCATATTAATTTTTTTAGGACTCCTTCTCAATACATAGAACTATATCTTGGGACATTATGAGCCCTGCTGACTCAGTTGGGAAGACTACAGTAAAACACAAGCTTTAATTTCAGCTATGTGAGATTATTAGTACACTTAACCATTCCTTCTATTCCATTACTGTAAGTGGGGAAAAAGTGAATTTGAAAAGGTGGACTAAAAATGAGAGTACTATTATACATTCCATTAGCACTGCACCATTTTAGAGAGGTGAATTACCAGCTGATGACAAAAAATATCATCATGCAATTTTAATACATGGCCCTGTTGTATGCTCCTAGCAATTTTAAAATTCCATTTCTGCTTGAAAGCAAAAGTAATTTCTCCAGAAGTGCTCTCTACTAGAATACACTCATGCTTCTCAAGATAATTCCGCTCTAAGTGCCGGCATACTGAGCAAGCAGAATTGAGTTCAACATCTTCAACTGAAAACCTTTACACATAACCTATTTCTCCCAGCCTAAAAACAAGCACAGTATGCCACATGTCTTTTAGGTGGTTAATACTCAATTCATATACCTCTAAATGTTTAGTAACAAGTAGAAGTTATGCGTGTAAGAGAAGGCTGAGCATTATCAGTTGTGTTAACATGTATTATGTTGTTTTGGTAAAGGCATTAAACTACCTAAGATATTTTAACATTTAACATTTGTTTCATGACACTTCATCACACTCATTCATTTAGGGGATATTTTTACTTATTTGTTTAATACACTAAAATGTTTTATTGTAGCCCAGCTTTCTGAAGGGTCCCAGGAGCTGCATTGCTCCACCACACTCCTGAGTCCATTAGTCAATGTTATTTAAGTTTTTACAGACATGGCCTCAGTTATCTCTGGAGTCATCTCCCCAGAAGTTTTTATAGGAAACTGGCAAAATACATAAGGAGCAAGACCCAAATTAATCTATTTAGGAAAGAACAATCTATAGCAAAGCTGTTAACAGCACACACTACTTTCTTCCCAGGTAACAGTTAGCAGACATTAGAAGACAGACTGCTGAGGGAGGAAAAACTCTGAGTTCTAGGGATTGCCACTGTTTCTGAAACGCAGTGCAAGGGCAAAGCCATAATAAACTAGAATTCATTAGTTTCAGCAGTATTCAGCAAACAATTTGTTCTTCCTATCACAAAAGAATATAAAAGATTGAATGGATTTTAAGGCCTTACTGGTAATTTTCTTATGAAAGAAAAGAAATACCCTTACCTCTCCACTAAAAAGTCTGTGAAAAAAGCCTCTCTTTGGTTTAGGAGACCTCTCTCTGTCTGGTGACACAGTACCATCAGTTTCATATGTATTTATATCTTCAAAGCATCCCGTTTCAATCATCTTTGAAACACATGAAATACAAATTAAATATCCACACAAGCCTCTCAGACAAGTTCCATGCATTATCTGTTCACTCTGGCTGGGTACAAACAACTTATAAATTCATCAGCCAGAATATGCCACTCACAGAGCTCCATGAAGGAAGGCACAAATTCTGCACTAACTCTCCTTGTGCACTAAGCAAACTAAAGAACAGCAGTGAGAGCGCTGCTATGCAGGCAAGTGCTCAGATGCCCCTTGCTCTGGTAAGGCATTTCTTCTGCCTGTGAAGCAGCAATGAGAAGTTTTCAGAACAAGAAATTGATTTTCCTTTCATGTATTATACTCATTTCAGAGCAGTCAGCCTAACAAATATAGTACCTCTATACCCTGGATTGAACTTAATTAATAAACATGACATTGAGTAGGAAAAATGATTATTCTGTGCAGAATACTAGTACATGCATAGTACTGGGGGGGGATACTTTTTACCAAGGGGGTGAATTGCACTTTTGGGGGAAAAAAGTAGCTGATGCCTGACCACAGTAATTTAAACATCATTCTGGTGTTCTGGGTAATCATCAATCACAACGAAAACACAACTAACACATACCACAACTAGAAATAAGGCAATGAGAGAAGGTAATGCACAGAAAACAAAAGAATTAAAACACAGTTACTGGGTGCAGAAAGAATGAATGCCAAAGTGTAACAAACAGGCATGGGCAGGAGGGGGAGAGTGGTTAATGCCCATGTGTAGTTGGTATTTATTGGTGAGCACTACTGGTACACGTCTATCATAGCAGGCAAGCAAACACATGAGTATACCTTGGGAGGGAGAGAGAGTATAAAGAGGACCAAGAAGAAATGTGGTCTGCTTTTGATGTAAATCAGGACATTAGGTAAATTATGGGAGGGAAGGAGGAATTCTTAAGAGACCGAGAGTGAAGGCTTAAGTGAAATCTCAGTAATACGAACTAAAAAATAAGCACAAATGTGAAACAAAGTCTGCACAGTTATTCCTTGAAGAGAAGGAATTGCCATCACCAGAATCCCACAGCTACTTTCAACTTCATCCCTGTATGTGGGGTTAGAGTTACTAAGCTGCAGTGCATTTCTTAAGGACTGGATCATATGCTGAAGTTCAGAATTATACACAGCAAAGGAAATACATATTTTTCCAACTGCCTAAGGTTTACTGTTTCTTAGTGAAGACCTTCTATGTCAGATGACACCTTTCAAATCTCCTTCTTAACATAATGGGAAAAAAAGCAAAAGGGAAACAAAAGGGAATGTACTTTTATCCTCTGAGTTGTTCAGAAATTGCTTATCTTTTATGTTCCAGTTTTAAATGAAATAAACTGGTAAAGAAACTGCACTAGTAGAATTGAAGACAATACTGATTTCAGAGAGTTATAAATATGTTATAATATGGGGAAGACACAGCAAGAACTGCCATTTTAAATAATTGTAACTGATTGTTCTTTGTGAAATAACAGTGAAGATTAATTTGCTAAATACAGGCTGAACTGTACACAGAGGTAGCAAAATTCTAGTATGCTATGCAGAAAACTAGAATACTCCTTCACTAGGCAAATGAAAAAGCTTTAAGAGAAAGTCTGCCTCAAGCTGTATTGAACTGTTTGTTTTGAAACCTTAGAAAAGGTGAATCTGCAGTTCTGTGTTACCATTCACTCGGGTACTCTATTGACACACAGGCAGGATACACAAACAGCTTGCACTGCTCCCATTTGCTTTTGAATGTTTTGAATAGCATTCATTCCCTCCTATGAGCAGCAGCACTGAATAACATGAGATAGAACAACAAGGAAAACGTGGTCATACTGTTGCTAAATACTGTTCTGTATGTTGCATCTGTGATGACAAATGACATTCTGCTTGTGCAGATTAACCATAGATCTACATTTGTAGCAAATTGTTTATGTTTTGGGAAAAACTTGTCTTTGAAGTCACTCAGCAAAGAAGTCTAAAGCAGACATTTATTTTCATCTTACAGAGAAAGCTAATCCTATAATTATATCCTTTATAAATCTTCTATATTGCTGTGCTAAAGAAAATAATTTTTAATGAAATACACAATACCTCATTTTGCCAAGGGATTGAGACACAACCCGTAACAAATTTGGAATAGAAGTCATCATCTGTAGTATCCAGGTTCACTCCTTTTACTGTTGAGAACTGCTCTATGTCCAGAACATCTTTACAATATACGGCACGTGGCTGCAGTACAAGACAAGATTGCTTCATTAAGGTTTTGGAGTTGGGGGTTTTTTGGGTTGGTTTGTTTGTTTCCCTAGATAAGCAAAGAGGGAGCAAAATGTCTACATCTATATATACACATATTTCACATTGCTGATCACCAAATTACACAATAATACAAAAACAAATGCAAAAATTTAAGACTCCCTTCATAAGGCACCTGAGCAATTCCATCCATCATGCAAGTAACAGAAAAGAAATATCAAAAGCAGAAACAGCATGCAGCTTCTCTGGGTTTCTTAGTAATTGTCATAATTCACTCATCATCTGTCACCCTCCTTTCAACTCCAGAGTAATTTCTTCAAAGCTAATCTTCATTTGTTCAGCATCTGAGCTACAGAAGTAGATTTCTAAGGGCTAAGAAACCAGTTATTTACTGATTTATTGTAAATCATTTAGTGACCTCAGATGAAATTTGGATATAAGGAAGAAATTCTTCACTGTGAGGGTGGCGAGGCACTGCAACAAGTTGCCCAAAGAAGTGGTAAATGCTCCATACCTGGCAGGGTTCAAGGCCAGGTTGGACAGAGCCTTGGGTGACATGGTCTAGTGCGAGGTGTCCTGCCCATGGCAGGGAGGTTGGAACTAGATGATTTTAAGGTCCTTTCCAACCCAAACCATTCTATGATGATTATATGATGATTCTGTGATGAAAACAATGACATTCTCCTGCCAATTCAACTAACTTCAAAGGTTTCTCTGGAGCCACATGATTGCTGACATAGAATTATGACAGTTCTTGCCTTTTTAGATACTAATCAAATCTGTCTCACCTACTTACATCTGGCAAGAATGGAGGTTCTAACATGTTAGCTTCCAGCCTCTTGAAGTTAATATTCTTGAAAATAGGATGTTGCTTTACAATAGCAGCTCCGTCTTCAGTGCAACCCAGTCGTTCCCCTGGATTTTTAGCAAGTAACTGCAAAGATATGTGGGGGGAAAAAAAATAAAAAAAGAAGACTGATCCAGTGATACAATCCCAGAATAAAAAAAAAATAAATAAAAAAATAATAAAAAAGAAAGTATATACAATGTCTTTAAATGTTTATTTTTTTTACTTGGCTTTTTATTAGGTGAAATTTATCATGGTATAAAAATGAATTGGAAATCCAAACTGCAACATTTTGGGAGCAAAAATACTTTTAGTGGACAAAAGAATCCTTGAGAGCAGCCCATCTGAATGTAATACCCAAACTTATATAAAACATATTTTAATTGATGCCATACTGAATAGATTTTTACAGTACAGACTTTGCTGTAGACTTTACTTTCAGGAAATACAGATTTTCTTTACTTTTTTTTTTCCAGTGGTCTTAGGTAATGCACGTATTTTGCATAAACTACTCAAGAAAACTTAGAAGCTGTCTGTATGGCCATGCCTTGCACTAAATTTAAGAACATGCAAGATAAAAACAGCTTATCTCATACAGACTCTTTTAGGCAAGGGCACTAGTGTACTACTGCTATTTCTGCCCATGCAGTACCAAAAATGAGCATGCTAGTGTACTCCTTCTATAATTACATGTGATCCAAGGAGGACTGGACCTTTTCATTCACATGATGAAAAATATCAGTTTATGCAGCCTTCCTTTCTCTTGAAAACAATTCTGAATTCTCCAAGTTTGATAACCGAGCAATTCATGGACAGTCACAAACTTCCATCTGAACCAGAGGAAGATTTCAGAACTCCAGCTTTGAACAATTCTCAATGGAAAACGTTAAAGTAGCTCATCTCTTAAAAAGGATTAGAAATTTAATTTTCAAACCTCTATGTCTCTTCACCCACCATCCTGCAGATTGATTTTGCCTCCTCTGAGAACTTGTCTGAATATGTTTCCTGGTCTTCCTTTACTCGCCGGTCAATTTCATCCCGTTTGACCCTTTCCTTATGTTTCCTGAATGGAGACTGGCCTTCAATCATTTCATAAATCAAGCATCCAAGACCCCACCAATCCGGGCTGAATGTGTACTTCTCATTTTTCAGCACTTCTGGAGCTACAAAACACAAAGAAAGAAACCCCCATGACAATTCCCTTTAAATTGACTAATTGACTACTGGAAAAACTCTACGGTGCTATTTTGGCTCTGTGCAGAGATCTCTGCATTATTCCTTTGTACTTTGATGAAACATTCATTTCTACAGTGAGGACTCTGTTTATATCCAATAGAAGCACTTCAGTTCTTTAACACTTAAGATCAGTATTATTTACAAAATGAGAATGAGGTTTTTTCAAAGCATGAAAACAACCCTGCTGTCACAGTAACTCATCTGATTACCTTTGACCCTAACTCTCTTTGAGTCTCAGAAAAAAAATAAGATGCTTTCTTAAAGCTCTGCCTAAAGCTAGAACTTCTAAAGTTAAGTTTTCAAGTTTATCAGGAGCTATCAGCAATTGACTACTAACATCTACCACCTCAGACTGTAACATTTCTTCCCACGTCTAGAAACCATTTCAGGTCCAAAAGAGTTAATTGAATGAGATATTCGTATATCCACAGAAGCAAATTTTCTGTTAAAACAGAAAGCACAGGACACTTTACATACCCATATAGCCAACAGTCCCAACCCGTCCTCGCACCGTTTCTCCTTCTGGAATCTGCACAGCTAATCCAAGATCTGAAATTCTGATATGTCCTATTTACATTAAAATAAATTATACATAGTCAGAAAATAAGACAATATTATCACTTTTAATACAAAAAATTTCTGTAGTACACCTCAAAAAACTCCACCCCAAAACACCAGAACATTCACATACTCACAGCGTCCTATTTACATTAAAATAAATTATACATAGTCAGAAAATAAGACAATATTATCACTTTTAATACAAAAATTTCTCACAGCGCTAAGTTTATTTAACTTAACTAGAACGGAGTGATTTATTATTATTCAACTCTTCCTTAAATACAAAAAGGAAGAGAAGTATGTATCTAACTGATTTCCTGAAGGTCGTACAAAAGAGTTGCTGTTAAGTACCCTAATTCTTAGCTTTGGCAGAGGCTGCTACTCTAGGACAACTAGAAATGATGACTGCTCATTTCAAATTCTGTACCTATATATTAGACACATGTATTTTTCCATTTCATATGCCTGCCATCACAACCTCAGAATTTACTCCATTTATTTCAAATACAAGAAAACTATCCTGTATTGAGACACCAGGTTTTCCTCTAACAAAGGAATAATAATGCTAAGCACAAGGAATTGGAATTGCTATTATTTCAAGGGGTAGGGAGAGTGGAGAAAGTCAAGTGCCACTCTATATACTGGTTGGAAATATCTAAATGTTCTTGAGCTGCAAATGCTATTTTAAATATATACAGATGCTCTTCCATTCCCTGACATCTGATGAGCCCCTTTTCAAGTGCAGGATCTGAGCTCCTGAAGCGATTTTCTAATTAGTCCCCTCTGCTCTCTGGAACAAGATCAGACTATCCCTGGCAGAGAGAAAGCATTCTAGTGCAGTCCTGCAAGGCTACATTTTTTTCCTCAAAGAGGCATTCAGCTTTTGCAAGACACTGCTGGAGAGAAAAATTAAAGAATGCATTTGATGTCTAAGCAAAGCTTTAGGTCTTGGAAAGTGACTTCTCCCAAGCATCACCTCTTTAGAAATTTCATCAGTCAGAACATGCTGACTTGCAAAAAAAACTGTGCTAATTATATCAAAAATGTTTTTTCTTTAACTAAAATACTCAGCAATTGCAAAAATAAGCTGGTAATACTAATTCACAGCTTAGAAGGTAATTGCTGCACATGTTCTACAGTGAATTCAAAAGATTCTGATAAATTTCATACAAAGTCATTGAAGAAAATAAATCGGGCTTTTGACAAAAACTACAAACATTTCTTCATACTGTTTGTACTTCGGTGATTCCTTCCAGCCACAAATGCATCAGTGACCACCAGACCTGTTTTAGTTGAAATGTTAAATCATTTCAAGATGAAGATGATGTTTCAGATTTCTTTATTACTTAAACATTATTATTTACTAAAGAATATTCCAGCCCTTCATCTAACAAATCATTTTCCATAGCTAAAGAAGACAAATAAGAGAACAAATCTACATAAAACTTTTAGCCATCTTGAATCAAGAGCAGAGGGGAAGAGGAACAGAAGGGGAAAAGCAGCCATTTTAAGGTGGGAAATTGACTCCTCAAACATCATCACTGATGTCCCCCAAGGACCCAGTATTTTCCCCTACTTTCTAAAACGCAAGGGCCGTTTTTTCTTTACTAATTAAAATTAACATGTGTCGGTCAGGTCCCATTTATCATGAAGACATCCTTTGATTTCTGGCACAGTATTAATTAGATTTGCAATTCCCAATTTAAAAATTAATTTTTATTTTTACTTACCACAGTCATCTAGGAGTATATTTTCAGGCTTCAAGTCTCTACAAAGTAAACAGAATAGAAATGTGAGTTGTACAAAGGCAAAATTATTAGCCATCATCAAGTACAACATCAGACTTCTTGGTTCTGATTAAAGTAATTTTTCCAGTTTCCATCTATATACAAAGAAAGTTGGGAAGTTGAGGACCTATAATACAAGTAGAACCACAGAACTCAAAATCCACTTTTTCTCCCAACTCCCTACTCCATTTATAGTAATGACAGCAATTCATATTTCACAGATGAAAAACTTTCTCTACATAATACCAAAATCCTGATATGAAGAAACACCAACTTACACTCAAATTTGTTCTCATAAGTGAAAGGTATTTTCCTGACAGTGTCAGCCATACAACTCCCCGGTGGTAAAACACATCAGTGCTTGCTGCAGTTTGATGCTCACCCCTTGCTATATTCCATCCCAGGGTGTCAGAATATCAGAGAGTAATATTCCCAAGACTAATCATGGGGTTGGTACCATCCATTCAAATTCCATTCCTTTATTTTGGACATGCAGCTTCTAAAGCTTATTAGACACTTCATTTAGTTAGGATTCTTTGCAATCAACTCTAAGAGTCTGTACTACTCCTCTGTTAGCATCAAAGTTTCACATGAAACACTTTTTAGCTATTAAATGCTAGCAAGAATCAGGAAATACTAAAAGGCAAATCAATTCAGTGTGGAATCTTGTACAGTTTTACTTTAAGAACAAAAGAAGAAACTCAAGAGGATATTCGGATTTTCTCCCCACCCAAGGAAAATTTGGGGAGTCACTGAAGCTGAATCAGAAGCTGTTCAGAGATTACTTCAGGATCCATTGTCTGGCAGATTCTACTGAGAACATACACGGTACTATGTACGTAAATATACATATGCATGAAAGTATGCAGACCATAATACAGCCTCTTAGATTTATTCCGCCACCAAATATCATGAAGCCAGAAACAGACAAGCAAAAATCAGTACTAAAGATTCCGTATTTATTGGAGTAGATTGTTAAAAACAGTAGATTGTTAAAGACTGAATAATGTAAAAGAAACAATGTTAGGAAGACCAACTCTAGAATTTACATTCAAAATTAGAGAGAAATATACATACACACATTTGTTAACCAAGAAATCTGTATGCTCTTTTCCCAAATATTGATAACTTGATGCTCGGAAGTATGTGTATTCATGTTAAAGTTTCATCATTTCATGATATTAACTGCATAAAGAAGTCAGCAAGATGCTTTGCTTCTAATACTTTGAAGTCTACACAGTCTCCATAATGTTAATCAGTTGATGTTAAATATGAGATTACACCAGAGAGACCAGGAGAGATAAGAGTAAAGAAAAAAATAAACCCCAAAACCCCCTCTAAGACAATAAATTCAGCTCAAACTTTATGTAGAAACACATCTACTTTAAAGCATATAATACACGCTCAGGTTAACTCAAGTAAACAAGTTTAAGAGTTCTATCTCCAAGGTGGCTGATTAAAACCTAACCTAAACCCCAAGGCTTAACTAGCAACATTTGCTGCTCAATAGAAGCTAATTCTGTTCTGACATGATTTTGATTTGCCAACAGTCAAACTTGTTTCCAGCCAAAATTCCATCTCTTCAATGCAGCTAATTTCTAGGCCTAGCAGTTCTCAAAGAACTCAGCTTCTGGAAGCATTCAGCTATAAATTCCAGCTCTGAGATGCTTGCTTTGGGGTATCAGCCTTCTCCCTCTTTCCTTCCTCCATCATGCAGATGTCAAAGTCACACCTTCTGTGACAGTTTTCCCTTAGGAAGCAGAGAGGATTGCAAAACTCACAAAACTAAAAAGTACATTACAAACAGTTGGATAAAAGTATATATATTTAAACTGGACTAAACAATGACTAGTCCATTTGTGCTACAGCTTACACCAGCCATCCTACTGATAAAATTTCTGGATAAAAATCCTTCAGGGGATTTTACTGCAAAGGTGTCGACTCTGACCACACACACGAGGAAGGCAAGAACTACTTGGGTTTATCAGCTACAGCTTCGACAGGTCTTTGAGTCTGATCACTGTCCTTCCAGGCACATTCAGTGGCATTATGGGCACCTACATGAGTTTGTGAGGAAAATGGAGGTATTTGGTAAAAAACACTACTCCTTGAGGAGTCAGGTAACTTCTGCAGGAGAACTCCAGCAATCAAGTCCCTTTTGGAAAGCAGGCACTGCTTCCCCTCTCTGTCTTATGTGAATCCTGACTTTGCTCTCCATATTATGAGACATTTTATGCAGCAGATGGATGAATAACTCCACAACTGCCTGTTCCTGTCTGTTTGCTTATTTTTCTAATGTCAGCAACATATGGCAAGTTACAGAGAGTTTTACAGGCTCCCATCGAAGCAGCAAACTGGCTCAATCGCTCTCACAGGGCAGCATGGGGCCCTCCTTCCAGCTCTGCACCTGCTCTTTTAATCCAGTGGGAACCCCACTAACAGAATGGCACAACTGACTCTAGGGTCCTACTAACAGCACTAATGCCACTGCTTGACAGTCAGTAGTGACTGGCATAAAGATACATGAAACACACAATAAAAATTGGTGTTAATGGAAAGTCAGGCCTAGCTTTTCCACTTATGAGGCATTTTGCTACTGATGGTGACACATCTCAAACACAGTAAGCTTAGAATACATTTTAACTTGACCGGCTTACATTAAAACTGCCATTCTAGAACTGAACAAACTGACAAGATGAACTGATTTTACTGCTATCTGCTGACACCCATCTGCACCAAGGATTTCTATTTTCAGAAGTCCTGAATTTCCCTTCTTCCACTGCCTCTACAGTACACTTCACTGTGAATATACAGATGGATAGCTACAAAAACATGTTCTCGAGAAAATATGACAGTATATAACAAAACTAGTCTGCATTTAACAGTTTATGCTATTGGTCTAAAAAGACTTTAAAACTCCTCCTTTAAAGCTGGAGAACAAATGCAGTAATAGATCCTGAGAAATGGCAACAAGAGAAAGAACTAGCTGCAACTGCAGAAATACCAGTATTAAATGCTTTCAAAATGACAGCAAAATAAAAACATTCCTTCTGTGTTTTCTTGCCCTGGCAAACAAAAAATAGAAATCACCATAATTTGGAAAAATTAAATCACTGACTGACTCATGAAAATGTGCTTCATGATGTTCTCCCCTGCAACAACACTAAGACTGGAGGTTGCCAGCATAACTTCTTTGATAAGAATAAAGTAATTATGGCAAATTTTCCCAAGCTTTGTTTCACTGATCATATATAATCACTGAACTGCTGCTTAAGTGCATCTCCGTTAAGAGCCTGATACAGAATTTTGATCATCTAACATATCACTGTAATTGGTGACACACTGAAGACTTCCATGACCACCTGGTTTAGACCACTCCAGAAGAAGCCACAACCACTCCAAGATGTAGAATTGGAGACAGAGAACACTAGGATTTGACATATGTGTTTGAAGGCCTTCTTGCAGGCAAATAGCTAACAAGCTGGGCTTAAACACAAGGGCTGGGAGTGGTGTGGTTGTGGTTTTGTTTTGTTTTGTTTGGGGGTTTTTTGGTGGTATATTCTATTTTAAACAGTCAGTTTTGTTTTCTCTTGGGCAATATGAAATAAACTACTTGTAACTGGTCAATCCATTCATCTCTGCTTCCCTCCTACCATGTGTGCCAAAACACACTGTGTAACATTGCAAGATGGGCCAAATTCTTTAGGGAACCACATACAACATCCAGCATAAGCCTTATCTACTCTGTGGTTCTGCCACCTTGCACTGTGTGTATGTTAGTCTTCTACAATGGGGAGTGAAAAGCCTCAGACTCATTGTATTAAAGTTATGCAGGATTATGCTTTAAATCGTCTTTGAAAACAAGTGGCACTTGGTGTTAACACCAGAAATATAAAGCAAGCATTCTTGGTCCACCACGTAGTTAATTTTGCTTCTGTAATATTAATGCCAGGGGTTAAATGAGGTATGTTGAGAGACAGAAGAGAGCAGTAAGACCATACAATCTCAATTACAATTCATAAGGTTTCTGATAGTTTCATTAATTAAAAAGGAATAAAGCGATTATTGGAGGAACCTAAAATAAATACAGAATAAAGAGGGCAATACAGATTATAACTGACTTTTTAACCTCTTGGGCACAATAAGCAATGCAGCAAGGGACTTCTATAGCCTTCTATGAAGTTCTACTTTTAGAGTGGGCAGGAATTCAGTGTTGCTAAAACTTAGAGTTACTAATGAATTTGCTATATAAATCATAACTTACTTTCATTTTACAAACCAACCTTGAATCAACTTTATAATGCTTTAGAATATAGCAACTATCTAGACCTAAATTAACAGTAAGAAGACAAATAAGATCGGTAATTCTGAAGGATATGCTGTGAAAAGGACAACTAAATTCTTTTGCTTCTTTTACTATGAAGTATAAGCTTGTTTCAGTAGAAAACAATTAACGGCATTCAATGCTGAACAGACATGGAAAATTCAAGGTACAAGTGATTAGAGATGACACTGACCTGTAAACAATTCTCTCCTTCTGTAAATCCTCCAGACCACAGCACAGTTCTGCAGCATAGAAAATAGCCCTTTCTTCATCAAAGCCAGGATTTCCCATGTTATATATGTGAAACTTCAAATCCCCTCCATTCATTATGGTTAATACTAAACACAGGGCATCTTTCGTCTCATATGTATAGGATAAACTAACCTAAAAATGGGGCAGGGGGAGAAGATGACCATTATTCATTCATAAACCCCAATACAATTCACAGCTCTTTTTTCCCCCCCAATACAAGCAATGTATGAATCCTTTTTTAAAACAAAAAATAACAAAACAGCCAAATAGAGACTCACTCCTGCATGTACTTGAAGACACAGAGGAAGTCAGACTAATGTGCATGTATATACAAACCCTACATCACCATACAAGAGTTTAGCGACATACCTGTTTAGATACCACAGAGCTCCATCCAGACAATACATTTATTGAGGATGCCTCTCAGCTGCACATTATTTATAATACTTCTTTGTGACGATAATGTGTACATAGACTTTATTTTATTAATACCTCAGGAATTCTGCATTATCCAACCATTTTCCTAAACTTCTACAAGATTTGAAGTTGCCCTACACTAAAGAAACTAAAAAAGTTACTTAAGATCAAATGTGTAGTTTCTATTCCTCCCCCTCCCCCCCAAAAAATAATTGCATTTTTCCCTGGCTTAGAACTCGCCAACAGTCGAGACTTCTATAAAGCTCTTCATAATCTAAACAAATTTAAAACAAAGTAATATACTGCAAAATTTAACATGTTATTTAAGTTTAAAACTCAGTGTCAATAGAAAAAGCTATGCTATGCTGATGATCATCTGGCAGAATCTTCAAAATACATCCTCACCTACAAAGATGAACTAAATTGTACTCTTACTTCAGAAGCATAAATCAGATACTAAATAATAAATTGAAATAAAATATACAAATCAGCCTCTCAGGGCAAAGGTTCCTATTTGAAGGTTTTAAACCGACTTCTCCAGCTATTAATGACAACTTATCTACCCACTTCCAACCCGATATTACTGCAGATCCTACATCTAAGATCTTCTCTGTTGCATTAAAGTAAAACATTGGATAGCAAGAGGAAAATAACTTCTGCTCAGTCCTATAAAGGGATTTCAAATTTAACATGGATCAATTATTGATTTATATATTTACATATGTTGAAAAAATATTATTCATAAATAGAAGTTTCACTCTTATCTCGCATCTCTACAACTAGTAATTTCTGGATTCAATTTCAGTGAAGTCAAGCCCATGATCCTTGTGAGAAAACATTAGCATATATATACAAAAACGTTATTTATGAACATTTAAAATATTAATGTACCTGGCCAGTAAATTCTAGTTTTTCTTTTAGCTGACTGTATTCTACAGGGGTTATTTTAATACATTAAGCTTAGCAGAAAATACATACATACATATTTTATACATACATATATATATTTATAAATAACTTCACTGTCCTCTAACACAGGTACTTTAAACTCCTCTCTGAACAGCAATATTAAATTTATCACTAAATGGATTTAAAACCAAAGCAACATTCATTTAAAATTAACATTTAGAGAACATAAATTCAATGAAAAGATAAACATTACCTGGGGGAAAGTTTGCTTGGTGTATCTTTGATCATTCTAAGTAATTTCACTGCTTAGTAATTAGAGCTCCTAACAGACCCTCATTTATGTGATAGCATTAGGTTCAAGCATTAAGACTAAGATTTTCATTCTCTGGAATTTCTGTTAAAAAGCTATGTTAATTGTTTCACACCCAGGATTCCTCTTTAAGCCTTAGTACACAGCAAAGCAATATAACTAACCTGAATTGATATAGCAGGCAAATTTCATGTTTACCTTGAAATGACTAAGCAATAGAGTAACAAATGATATGAAAATACCTAAGGATATAAAAACTCTAATATTAGAAGCCACAGACATGAAGGATATGCAATTTCTAATGGCAATCAAATGGCAGACTCTCATGAAGTCACCCCTTTGTAAGTGCATCTAGAAATGACTTCCAAAACCGAAATTAGCATTAATTATAAGAAAATAGGTGTATGTGAGGGAAGAAAGAAGGAACAGAAGAAAACATAGAGCCATGAATTGGAAGAAGAGACAGAAGAGAAATGGAAGGAAAAAATAGGATGGAATAAAGTATATAGAATATCCTCTTTACTAAACACAAACATACTAACTCATAGGCTGCAGCAGAAAGAATTTAAGTGATTATTCAAATCTGAGTACTACAGAATAATTTATTCACCTTTAAACAGATGACAAAGATTCAGTGGCATCAGCATGCTGAAACACAACCTGATGTTTTGGTTGAAAGTGAGAAATAAAGGAGGCAGACTAAAGCCAATTCAATATTGCATAAAATCCTCTGTACAGAACTACTCCATCATACAAAAAACGTACTTCTTAGTCTATCAATCATTTCTCTCAGCAGTATCCACTCTCTAAATCAATCAGAAAATGCCCTGGGCCCACAGGCTCCTGGAAGAGACTGAAATGAAGCAAACAAAGCAAGACAAACTTCTGAGAATAAGATCAGAAGCAGATACTTACTACAAACCTACTATTCACTTTTTCTAGAATTCTTTTTTCATTTAGAGCCATTGATTCTCCTTTCCTCTTCTTTATTCTCTTTTTCTCTAGCTTTTTACAAGCATACATTTTTCCTGTTGCCCGTACTTGACAGGCACACACCTGAAAAAGAAGGAAGGCGCGTCAGAGATGGGGGGTGCTGGGGTGGGGTGTGTTTAGATCTGTTGTGGTTTGTTTAGGGTTTTTTTAAAGAAGATAAAATTTTATTTTCTGTTTTTGAACTCTTGAATGCTCTGAGAAATGAAGGTCTGTAAGTATCAGTACCGGGCTTTCACCCAGGAAACAACTTTGAAGGGTCACAACAGCTGTAATAGGAGTAGAAAAAGTGATTATACAGCAGCAAACCCATTTTTGTTGGGGTTGAATACTTCAGTAAAACTATGGATCTTGTGTTGGTGAAACACCTGACTGTGGTAACAGTATGTGTCAGGGCTAGCAGGACAGAAGACAAATATCCACTCCATAATTAAGCAGGAGAAAGATAATGTTAATTTAGTAGCCATCCTTCCCCTTCAATATAGGGCTACAGTTAAAATGTGTGGAGGGGAAAAAAAGCCCAATGAATTACAAACAGAATTAATAAAACCTACAGCTTTTCCTATTAAGTAGAAACTACATTCTCATTGTCAAATGAAATTTCTGAACAGAGCAACTGTTGTCAGTCAGTGGAATTCTTCTCCAATTTTTTGCATGACCTAAAGTACTGAAACTAACACATTAAAACAATTTGAGTTGATGAGTTTGCCCCATGATATGTCAAATGTAGATTGTTAGAGTCAAGAATTAAAAAACTGCTTCTCTCCTATATTAAACTCTTTTTTTCCTTAAAGATTGCCTTGCAGAAAGATATTTCTGTACTCACCTCTCCAAATCCACCTTTGCCTAATACTCGATAATGCCTGAACGTGTGTTTGGTTACTGGTTGCCTGATTAACAGAAAGAAACAATTACTGCAACAGGAATTACAAGAGTTAGTAACCTCCTTCCCATCCCCAGGCCTCTCTTCATTTTCCCTTTCCTGTTCTGTGACATCTTACTGAACAACAGCTGCCTTGACCTCATGAAGACAGTATTATAATAAGCCGAATTGCAAATGAGTGTTCTGAGAAGAAACATTGGCTCCCTCATGTGGTCATCACACATTCACAATAGCAGGAAGAAAATCAATTAGGCTCTTTGCTGTTTAGGGTTAGAGACTTATCTGCTCTCCTCAGCAGTCAATTTTTCACCTCCAGCTGTCTCCCTTAGTTGCAGTATGTTGACACGTAGGCTGCATTTCAATGAGATCATGCTTACAATGCAGCATTTCAAGGATAAACCATTTCTGATTTTGCCTAGCTGTTTCACGTCTTCAAAACAGAGAGTTACGGTATGCAACAGCAGTTCAAGAGCCACTGATGTAGTGGAAAAGATAACTGGAATCACCTATTCTATGCTAAACCACTCTTAAGCAAGTATAAGAGCAGGGCTATTTCATGGTAGTGGGTTTCATTGTTTTTGGTTTTGTTCTAAAAGAGCATTCATTGCTAATTAAGCTTTGTTCTCAGGACAGCAAATGGTGGTTCACTTGGTAGAGAATTTGGGTTGATTCTCAAGTTCTCTTCCTGGCTTTTACTAATAATTCAGTCAAGTAAAGACACTGGATAACTGGAATTTACCATAAAATTAATACTCAATATGCGATCATGATACCCAGCAGTGCTGAATTAGAAAGAGTTTGTACCAGACTATGAAAAAGTTTGGACACTCCTTTAGTATTGATTTAAAAGCCCAAGCTAGATTTTCGTATGTATGTATATAACTTGCTGTCTTGTAATTACTAGATCTGTGTTTGTACCACCCTGAAAAACTGATTAGTTACAATTTTAGAACACTGGGTTATAAAACTACATTAATCTGCTTCTTAGCCACTAATTACACCAAGGTTGAAACTAAAAGATGGTACCATTCCCAAGACAGACTGGTATCACTGCACACTTAACAGCCAAACATATATCCATAATAATAAATTCACATTTACCTAATAAAATTTACCACTTGAAGACTACTGGACAGATAGTGCTGTTGAAGTAGTGGGACTCTGACTGTTCCATCAATATGTTCCTTTACATCTTTCAGACCATAATTCTTAGACAGGCACTGACATACACTAGGGCTCTACAGCGTTTCTAGCCTAACAAGTAGAACTGGCCACAAGGCAAAGAAAAATTATAACACAAACATTAGAAATAAACTTACTTTTCCAGCCATTTCCACTGTAAAAAACGGGAAAAATATATGCTTTCTTGGTAAGCTTCAAAAGGTCTTTTGCTTAGGTATTCGTGGACAATTCTAGCAACAGGAAAATAAAATCAATCTTATACTGAAAAAAACCCTAATAAGCAGGAGATGCTATCAATCTCTTAAAATATACTTAAACATATCAATGAGGCTGTAGGCAGAATAACATTGTCACTGTGCTCTACAATGGTTTTAACCTAATGTCTCACAGAGTGAGTGCCTGTCACAGAAAACTGTTCCTGTCAAAACACTGGTGAATGCCCAACTACTGTCACTTATAGTAACTAGAAAGTTTGACCTCTGCTTTCTCATTGTCTTCAAGCCCAAGTAAACATCGGCCTCTCAGTAGCTATGCAATACATGTATTTCACAGGCCACAAGTATGGCCTCTGAAGGATATTTACAGGAAAGGATGTACGAGTTTTCATACATTGTTTGGAGTCTGGTAAGTAAAATTTTATTCTCTTTATGCTATTTCCAAACCTGAACACCAGGTGCCTTATTCTCCTTAAACTAAACAGACCAAATGGGTTGGGGAACAAGTCATTCAAATTGTGTTCAGGTACTTATTGGGCAGAGGAAAGGGGATGACCTATATAACACATCTTCCATTTGAGACATGTTTTACTAGGTATTCTCACACATCCCTTTCAATCTTATAATCTCAGGTTGTTATAAAGTATGCCTATTTTTGTTGCCAAGGAGATGACCCAAGTAATGACAAAACATGTTGTAATGCTTCAGACATGATCAAGCATGCCTTGAAGAACCAGTAATATTAGAAACATAATGGATTTAGAAAGACATGCAACACTGGTAAACATGTACCATCCATCCAAGAAAAGCCTTCCCTGTTGCTGCTGTGTGAAGTATCACTTCATGACTTCAGAACAAAAGCAAGTTGGATTTGTTTGTGTTAACTCTCACAATCAATCCTCTAATCAGCCATTTTAATGAAATACAACTGTTGGCCTCAGTTCAGTCCGTTTTCAAGAACCATGAATTGTGTAACATTGTTCAGAAACCTTTCAAGCTCCAGTTTATAACTTCAGATTTTTCTGAGTACCTTCATCATGGAAGAGATGTCACTCAAAAGTTAAGAACATAATAAAGATAAATACTATTCCAATTTACAGAATACTTGGTAGCAGGTTATAGCATGACTTTATGCAAAAAATAGCATTAAAGCTCTGCAAAAGTCAAACATCTGAGTCACATCAGAAGGAAATCTAGTCCTTTAATAAATCTGTTTCAAATTTCTTACTTATACTCAGTTCAGACACCAAATACTCCTGAATGTAAAAATTTCACCTTTCATTACTCTCAGAAACACACAAATTTCTCTTCTGATACTCAAACTTAGCACCATGCATTTTTAAGTTACCTAGTGCAGTCCATAAAAAGATCCTTAGAAGGGTTCTTTTCCAGTCTTGCTTTACATTCATTTACTGTTTCCTGAGGTATTTCTGGCAAGTGTGCTGCAGACTTTAAGTAATGAAAAACAGGTAACAATGAAAGCAATTCTGTAAATCAATAGAACGAGTCAAAGTTCTGTATTCAAAGTGAAATGAAATCTAATACAGGAAAACAAAAGGAATGGTTTGGCTAAAAAGAGAACCAACAAGCCATATTCAAGCAAAATTTGTGTTTGTTCCCTATTACACAAAAATGCATTGAAAGCTATTACAGTTATTTACTAGTTCAGTATCTGGGGAAACAACCTTGGCAATAAGTTAAATTTCTTCTTCTTTCCATAAATCTACCAGAATAAAAGAAAATTATCTATTTGGCTTGGCAGGATGGAAGGAAAGGAAAAGAAACACACATACAAGTTGGGAAATGATTTCAAACCAGCCCAAGAAATGTTTTGGGTTGTTTTTTGGGTTTTTCTGCAAAAAATGCCTGTGACTTATGGTAATCCCAAAGAAACAATCAGAAGAGATGCAGCAAGCTTGAAGTCTATCTGCTTTTAAAGCACCTACAAGACCTTCATTTGAAATAAAATCTTCTTAGGATGGCCAAAGAGAAGCAGAAAGAGCATCTATTTATAGAAAGCAAATGTCTAATTATGTATCTACAGCTTCTAATGGATACCAAAGAAGAGACTCTTAAAAATCAATCAGTGGAATCTAATATATGCAAAAAATCAGGTACTAATGATCTCCATGCAAAATACAGAGATGCAGAATGCTCTAGAACAAATCAAACCAAAACAGCATTTCACTTTATGAAAACCTGCAGCAATTCCAACCATTTACAGCATACCAAGCAAGGCCACACAGGAGTCTGAGAGAAGCCTGAGAATTTCAACGTCTTCAGACTACAAAACTCTGAGTTAATTTGTTAATATGCTTTCTTTAGATGCTAAATGAGTTTGTTCAAAATACATCTTTACTTGAGACCAGTATTTTAGTTAGAAAACATAGGAGAATAAATTGTCACGGTAGTAGTCTTATAAGCAGATATGAGTCAAGGCTTCTGCTCAAGTTGCTAAGTTTCACAACTTCAGAAGACAGTATACCTTTCAGAAAGGCAAAAATGGGACTAATGAACTTAATTTACTACAATGCAACCACTTAGATCTTTATTTATCTGACATTTACAAAACACTTAAGACATATTTACCCCATTAGTGAAGTACGTCTCTAGAACTTTCAGGCCACAGTCTATGCGCTTTTCATCTGAAGATACCTCATATTCTGCCTAGGAGAATGGAATAGAAAATCAAGTTCTGTTTGGAGCTATTTGGCACTAGTGTCTTTGGAAGATAAACTTTATCATAACACAATGCTCCTAATATAAATGAAACTGAAGGCTCTCGTTCAAAATATTCAAAATCTATTTAAAGACTTTTAGGCTACATAGCGAAATATGTATGAAGAACAGTCAAGAAAAAAAGCACATGGAGTTTAACTTCTGGAAAACATATAGAAACTAACAGTTAGTCTAAATGCAGTTACAGAAGCTGCATCCTAGAGGTTAAATTAGATCAATTACAATGAACTAGTATTTATGTAATATTGTAGGACAGAATGATCCAGATGGGAAATAATTCAATAGAAGTACAATAATCAGCTTATTCTTCACTGTATTTTTTTTTCCTACAGTCTTGGGTAAAACCGGGATAAAGCTACTAACTTTTAAGGTCATGTTAACTACAAATAAGTGAGATCTAAAGCAAACCCTACTTCATTCGTTGAGAAAAGAAAACTTAGGAGATACAAAACTTATGAAGTTTTTGACTTAGTAATATATGGTATTGTGATGTAGAAAAGAAACATTGTGGAATAATACCATGTGTTTTGCAGATAAACAACAAGCAGCTTAGTAGAGCTCCAGAGCTACTTATGGAAAAAGACCCCAAAACGACAAACCATCAAATATTTACTAGTATCAAAAAACTCCAAGGACTACTTGCTAATAATAATTTTATGAAATAATAAAGAAACAGACATCAGTAGTTACAGCACTTAAAGGTAACACAGAATCTGGGGAAACATTAGAAAAGAGCAATCTCAAACAGCAACCTGTATTAGCTTTACTAGCTGGGTTAACACAACAAACTTTGCCTTTCCCTGGACATCACTGCCTCACAAACAAAAATAGAGCTTGAACAAGCTTGCTGAAGTCCAGCCCAGAAAAAAGAATCAGGAACCATCTGTAAGAGATAGTAGGTATTTTATCTCACTTCCTTGATCAAGATAGCCTGCTAGCTTTCCGATCATGAGAGTCATGGATTAGAGATTATTTTAGCTCTTAAAAGAGCTCTTGCTCTTCAAGATACTTGATTCCCAAGCATACTTCTTCACCATGACTTTTCAAATGGGAGTTAAAAAAGAAAAAAAAAAAAAAGAAAAGAAAGTAGTAGCTTGTGAAATTATCTCTTGCATCAGATTAGCTGAACTCTGACAGTCTCCAATTCACAGAAGCATTGCAATCCACATAACCTCACAGGCTGCATATTTCCAAACAAGCCAGAATTTTCAGTTAATGTCAAACACAATTACTTCCAATTTCACCTTAAAAAATGACATCTGTAGAGCAAAGACACACCTGCCTTACAGACATGACTGAGATTTTTTTCTCCTTTGTGCTGCCAAAGATTCTGCTACTCCTTGTCTAAGCTTTTAAGGATTGAAAACGTGTGCAGGAGTTGTAAGCATTAAGGGTACATTCACAATTGTCAGTGGTCTCTCCATTGTGTGATGCTCATTACAGGCTCTGGTTTACATTCACTTCAGGATATTTAGCTCCACTGTTCTGGATTTCCATTCAATCTATTCTATGTCTGCAACTGTCAAATTGGCCTCTGGAATTTGGTGCTAGAACAGCTCCTAAGAGTCATAAAAGTATGGGTAAAAGCACCTGAGGAGTGAGTTTTATTACACAAAGATTCATTGACAATTAAAAGGCAGTTCTACTTATCAGACATGAAAGTGAGTATCATAAGTAATATCCATTGTATGCATATCCTTTTAGGTTCAAGAAGTCAAGTGCCTCAGTTTATAGTCCTGTACGGGGAAGGAAGTATGAAGTGGGGGGCACAGCAAGAATCCCATCTACTTCTTTACACCCTGCACCTTTCAGAGTCATCTTGCATTCTGATACTGTATTTTTGGACACATGTAAGCAGCAGCACTACCCTACTTCTACCGTCTTTGGCCATTTGTTCCCTGAATATAAGAACAAAAATGGGGGGATGAGGAAAACTGTTCTTTTGGCAGCAAGCTCAGTTTAAGACTGTATTTTACTGTGCTTGGATTAACTATGAAGAACAAAGAATAAAAAGCTCTGAGCTATTATTCTCTCCTCTTAAGGGCTGCTATGTGCTTGCCTTCTTCTCTCATTACTTTCCCCCTCCCCATGAGGGTTTTGTCAGAGGATTTTTTTTAAAAAATGGCTGTGGGCATATTTCCTTCCTCCCCTCATTTTTTAGCACTAGATGCCAACATGCAAATGTATCAAGACAAAACACTTCCTCTCCTCTTGGTCTTTAAAATCTGGTTTCTCTCCTTCCATAGATGGTTCTCTAAATTTCCATCTCCATTGTATTTCTTTTAATTAGCACATTCTTTCTAGCCTAGGGCTTCCATGTGAGTTGCAACATTTTCAAGTCTATGTTTACAGCATTTTCAAGCCTGAGTGTCATAAGTAATATTCATTGTATGAACACCCTTTTAGGCTCAAGAAGTCAAGCAGCATGTCTCTCAAAATTATCTCTCTCATTTCCATCATAGTCATTTTTGTAGCTCTGACCATACCAAGCAGCTTCTTCCCACAGCCACGCAGATGCTCAGCCATTTCCAGGGGAGCAGGGCTTCATCATCATGCATAATGGCTACTTGGCAAGAAAACAATTGAACTCTCATCTCCCCCTTTTCCCGTTCCTTCCCCCAGCTTTATATGCTGAGCATGACACCATGTGGTATGGGGTATCCCTTGTGACACTTGGGTCAGCTGTCCTGGCTGTGTGCCCTCTCAACTCCTGGTGTATCCCCAGTCTACTTGCTGGTGGGGTGATGTGAGGAGCAGAACAGGCCTTGATGCTGTGTAATCACTGTTCAGCAATAACTAAAACATCCCTGTTATCAGCACCATTTTGGTCAAAAATCCAAAACAGCACAACATGAACTTCAATGTAGAAAATTAACTCTATCCAGCCAAAAACAGCACAAAAATCAAACTTTTTTTACAAAAAGAAAATGTATAAGGTATTGCCTACTGATATCCACCTCCAGTTGCTCACTGCTTACCACTGCATCCAGAAATTCAATGCATCTTTTCAAATCCGGTCTGGAATCACAGAACTGTCTGAAGAGAAGTCTTCCTATTGGCTGTTTGTCACAAAGCTGGTTATAGTCTCTTTCTGAGGAAGAAATAATAAGTAAATATCTTTATTTCTTTTTATCTTCATCATAGCATTGTCCTTACTCCCCTTTGAGACTAGGTCAGGAAAATATCACTAAAACCTGAACATTAAGATATTTAGCAAAGACGCCTAAAACATGCAATGATCCCAAGGAACAGTGAAACACTTGCAGCCATATTTGTGTCTTATAGACTATCACATTTATTAAAAACACACTGAATGACATGGTTAAGTTTTATTCAGTCCAGTCCAGGCTGGGGGGTGGAAAGCAAAGATATTGTGAAATAGCAATCCCAAAGCAAACAAAATGGTTTGGAAAGAAGGAATACAAAATAGTAATAGAAAATGTTAAAATATTACTACAAGACATTAAGAAAACAAGGGAAATATGTTACGATGTCATTCAAATTACAACACGATTCCTTTTTGTAATTCATGGCTTTGTATATTTATCCTTTAGGAGCAGTTTTCTTTAACTAAGAAGGAGCTGTGAAACAGTTTTTATCTCCCCATAAATTCTCCATCACATTATAAGTGATTAATGCTAATGAGCATTCAGAAGCAAGAGAGAATCCTTTCAGTTAACATCATCAAACTCTTATCCTTCCTTCTCAAGGAAAATCAGACACATCATTCTGCAGGACACCTACCGATTGAGCATCTAATACCTTCACAGTGACTAACAGGTGGCAACTTCAGCATCTCTTTCCATTTTTTACTGCGCCCACTCCGTTTGCCTAGGAAAAAATACACAGAGTAATGTAAAACACAGTGCTATGTCAGAATAAAATTAAATACAACATTAACAGCATAAAATCAGGTCACTTCTGCACAGATCTGCCAGGCTGTTTTTCATGCCTAGAAAGAAATACATCTACAAAGATATCCACACCAGTAACAAACGTGAGATAGAACTTTGATATGAAACACTAAAAAATGCAGAAAGTCTCTTGCAAGACAAGTATTTCACATTTTGGCTGCACATATAGAACACCTATTCAGAGACAAGGCAAGTATTATATAGGTGTTCTGAAAACTGAAACATCAAAGATAGAAAAAGAAAATAATTGAGAATTGTCTCTCAACCACGGTGAAGAATGGAAGGCATTAAAGTTGAGTAATACACTGAACACACACATTTTTGGATAATCAAGTCATAAATATTCTCTTTCTTTTTCTTAAGGGCAGTAGTAGCAATAAGAGTAGACCCCACTAATAAATGCGTGGGCACTGCTCAAATACAACACATCTATTGTAGACTACAGGTGGATACAGGACATCAGAGATAACTTAGCTGTTGTAGAACTCAGATATTTCAATGCTTCAGGTTTCACAGCACTAGTATTAAACTGATTTTTAAAAAGCTACTACAGTATTTCCCCCATTGTTTCTCAAAAACTGTATCTGTGCTCCATTTTCTATGTTCAATTGGAATTTTAGCACATTACTTTGGCCAGAAGCAGCCAATTCCATTTACAGAAGATACAAGGACTTATCAAAAAGGCAGAGCGATAGATACAATAGTATATGAATGCAAAACATTTCAGCAGAAGAGTAATTTCTGTGCTGCAAAATATTGTAAAAGAAGATTTTACTAAGTGATACACCCAGATGCATTTCCACATGAAAGAACAGTAGCAAAGCTTCACAGAAACTTTCTAAGTGTACCAAAGCAGTACATACCGTTAACCACAATGGGAGAGAAAGGAAGGGAGTTACCCCATGTAACCCGAATAGAAACTAAGCAGCAAACAGTACTCAACTCTTTCAGAATTAAATCGTTAGGGAAAAAGGAACTAAACACCTTCAGAATAATAAAATATGTTTTATAAAACCCTCTTCTCTCAAACATACAGCCTTTTGAACAGTTCCACCATTGCAGCCAAAGTAGTTCCAGCTTAGTGTACCCTAGCTCAGACCAAGTTTACATAATCACCACTACAGGACCATTGAGGTCTCACTGTACTGCTGCAACAAAACATTCTCAACTCTAATATGACTAGAAAAGTAGACAAATAAGGAATATAAACCCTTAAAAAGATGGCTTGCAGATATTTTTCTAACTGATACCTACTCTCTAAAAAACCCCTCTTCTGCACTGTATTTCCTAATGTAGCTTAAGTCATTCACCTTCCAAAATGGTTTAGAATACAAATATTTCAAATCTACTTCCCTCCCTCAATACTTCATGTGGTACCAGAACTAATCATGAAACTGGAACTACCCAGCATCATTAAAACAAACTCCAACTATTTTAACAAAATATTTTTATGTTAAAAAAAAGTTGAATATGTACTCGAAGAAAAACAAACCACACACAGCAAAGAGCATTTCTAGCAGAACTGAACACAAACAAAAAAAAATAATCAAGGAATACTAACACAGCAAGCCTGTACACATGCATGGAATAGAAAAGAACTGGATATAGATTATGTGATCATGAAAAACCATGGACAGAAGCATCAGAATAATTTTTAACCAGGCAACTGAAAATGACACTAAACTGGAAGGTCCACAGAAGTTAATTTTTTTCTGTTAGGAACTGATCAGACTCATTTGTGCATGACACAGTACAATCAGTACTGACCAAGGATGATAAACTGACCCAAGCTCACACCACAATGGTGTTCAGCAAAGGTAAAACTGCACTGTGATATACAGCAAGTATATTATCTCCTGAAGCACAAAGGGAACAAAACCCAATCAAACAATAAACAAACCTAAAAAAAAAATAAATAAAAATAATCCAAAAAGAGAGGCTCACTGATGCTTATACAAGTCCAACAGAAGAAAGTCTGCTGTATTTTGCCCCAGATATTTGGCCAGTTACTTAGGATGTGACCATTATGAACTTTGTTTTACAAAGAGACCACATGCTAGAATGGAACTGAATTCACCATCCTATAGAAGTCAATAAAGACTACACATAATTTATTAATATACACAAGAATCAAGTGCTTAGGAGCATCAACTAAATCAACATGCACTCTTTTCTCTGAACTGACTGTTCCTGTATTTACAGCAAATGCAGACTAAGTTTGCATGTCCCAATAACATAAAGAGAATGCATGACCTACATCATTTACAGATAAATCATCCATTTCTGGTAAAACTTGTGGGAGGAGGCCAATTTGCTTGTCATATTATTCCCTAATTGCAAAATCCCTTCCCATTTCTGAGGCAGTTTAAAAGTATCAAATCGAATTATAATAGTTGTGGTTTGTAAGTGTCTTAATATTGATTTCAGAGCTTCTATTCTGGATCCCATTCTAAAATACTTCAGATAAAATTCTTCCAGAAAGATCAACAGCTTACTTTGCAACAGAGCAGCAACAAAGCCATTAGATTAATCTGCTTTATGGTTGACCTATGTGGTTCAGAAGAATTACCACTTTTGCCTCTTTCAATGTAATTGCTGGCTAGAACAACGACCAACTTGAAGCGACTCATCTTTATACAAAGGGAAGGGTGGATGCAGCAATACAACGTTACAGTGAGGAAACACTGCAATTACATTTTCAGGCACATGAGAATCTTACCTTTTTCTCCTCCCCAAATTAATTCTCAGAGTTAGAATTTCAGCACTTATCTGTTCACATGTTTTTGCTTCTTAAAAAGATACATTCTCATTTGAGTTAGCCATTGCATTAGAACATGGTATGGACAAAATGTTTAGATATTTTCTTTTTTCAACTTTTTTTTTTTCTTTTTTAAACTCCAGAGAAACATTTGAAAAAGTTAAAGTAAGGCAAAGTGATTGCTTTATTCATGAGTAAAAACACAACTAGTTGCACAAAAAGAAACTGCTATGTCAAAACAAAGCAATCTGGTTTAGAAACAGATTTAGACAAATATTTTTCGAGTCATCAGATGGACTTCCCACAGCCACAGTGATCTTCCTTACGGGCAGGATTTGTAGCATGATTCTCATTTCACTGAGCACACACTGAACATTAGCAGTCAGTCTTCCTCGAGACAGAAAACTTGAGCAGATTAAAAATAGTGAGAAGCATTGTACTATCTGGCTAAGAAATGTACACAGGCTGTATGTGGTAAGATTCAGTGGCTACTACACTGACACTGAGATCATGCCATTGAGTTTTTCAGGGACTTCCATGCTCCAGCTTTCCTGCCTGTAAAGGGCAAGAACATACCTCTGTGCCTGAGCACGCAGCTATGAAGCACAAGGGCTGCATGATTGCTACAACATCATTCTTGCAAAACTGATTCCACAAACCAGATTGTCAGATACCAACTGAGAAAGTCACACCAGACCACACCCAGATAAGCTCTGAAAGCATAAAACTGCAACAAGACAACGGCCTGCAGCGTGCCTGTAACTATATAGATCAATCAATTGGGTCAGTGAAAAATGCAAAAGAATCAATGCAGAAGCTCCAAATCATCTACAGTGAGACGCATGAGAATAATCTGGGTACATACAATGCATCTTTCCCACAGCAGAAAAAGTTGCAGGCAAGTTTCCTAACAGATTTTAAATTCACTTGAATTCCTATGTTCTACTTACACACATTTTTCTCCAAACCACTCACAACAAGGATTAAAACCTTTCACTGAAAAATCAACACATTCCTGTTTTAACTATGGCCTTATGCTACAAAGGCATTTGTAAACACTGCCCATTGAGTAACAGATTTTGATGGTATCCCCTTACTGTACTTCTTTGGGAAGGTCTCTGTAATGTTTTCCACTCTGCAGGTCAGATGTATTCTTTGACATCTCAGTTCCTTGAAAAATAAGCCTGGTCACAGCTTAGTAACTAGATTTAACAGAGTGGCATCTATTTTATATGGAGAAAGATTTTTTTTTTTTTTTCCCACAAGTATGATACAAATAATCTGGCTGGCTCTCAGCAAGTTTGCCAGAAAGCTAAAAATTCAGGTTTCAGCACAAGGTAGGCACCAAACTCTCCAGCATTATAAAAGTCAAGGCACTTCTGAACATAAACAGAAGCAAAAACACAAGCAGCTCAATAAATAAATACATAAGAGATAACTATAGATTACAGATTGTTATGGCATTTTTACGATAATATTCCTCACATTCCTGGATTCAGGTGCCTAGAGTTGGCCTTAAGCAAGGTAATGCTGGAGTCCTCTTGCTCATCTGACTGTTAGAGCAGTAACCCTGTAAGCAGTTAAAACCCGAGGTATCTATGTGAACATTTGTGCAGCTTGTTTATATGCACAATCCTTTATTGTTCCCACAGCTATAACCACTTGAACAACTGGTTCTTCCCATCAGTTCTATATACATTTCCAGTAATCATGTACACATTTCGGAATGCTAGTGCATACACGCTGAACAGCTTATGCGCTTCTTCAGAAATTAGCTCTGAAAGCCTTGTATCAACTCAAGTTAATGTAACTAATCTAAGCCACAATTTGTTAAGCTAACCTTGCAGTCAAACATGTAACATCTGCATATACATTCCTTTTGATACATCTGTAACAATTTAATCAACAGGGTTTACTAGAGAAAACAAAACCAAAAACACAACAGTAAGAAGACTTCAATTTTACAGACAACTCCTTAAGAAGGATTTTTTATCATGATGATACATCAAGACTGCAACAGATAGAAAAGTAAAATTACTGGGAGTAGACTGTGAAACCTCTACTTCCAATTGCCACGTTTGAAATAACCAAAGCAGCAGTGTGTACCAATAAGTAGACCTCTCATGTTGTGTTTATTTAGCAAATGTAATTATT